TTTTTGATCTTAATATATTTAAAACCGAACCTATTTATAACGCTTCTAATCAAAGTTTTGCCATATTGATGTCAGTACTTGATAGTGGTAAGGTTTTACAAACTTGACAAAGTTTTTCTTCATTTATGATTTATTAATAATTAACATCGAATTAAATGAATAAATAAATTAGAATATGATAATTATGATATGTATCTTGAAGATCTAGTTGGTACACCAACTCCATTTGAAAATTCAAATTATGATAAAAATCAATATTATATAGGGCAACCTCAAAACGATAGAATCATATGTATGTTGATCATTTTTAAAGATGATATATTTGATAAATTTATATTTTTAAGAAATTTGTAGACATATCTTTGGAGCTTCAGTAGAACCATTAGAAATATTATAATTCCAAATATTTCAAGTTATTTTGGTAATCCAAGATACATTAGAATGCCTTATATTGAATCAAATATACGTAAGCATGCTTATATTTGAATCTTTATTTCCTTTAATTTCAAAAATATTATGATTAACTGTATTATTATTAACTATAGAGCTTATACCTTTTACAGCCACAAATTTTAATATAACAGATAGTAAGAATACCTCCATTAGTATAGCTTCTTTGATTACTCGCTTGTCAAGTTTCAAACTATCATTATTAATTAACAACTATAAACACAGGTAATGTATCTTATTATGCGAGAGTGCGCTTTCTTCTAAGCCCTAACTCTATTATAAAGGAAGAAACAGAACAAAAGTAAAGCATTTTTAGTGGTAATTTTGTATTTGCAATCACTTAATAATTTTATAAATAAAAATTAATCACTTAATAATTTTATAAATAATGATAATAATAGGAACAGAACTCAAAATTTCTTTAACATTTACCATATTCAACTCTTTCCGCTGATCCCCAATTTTGTAAACAAAACAAAAAATTCAAAATCTTTATAGTATAGTCTTCGTGAAAGCAATATTAGATTTAACTGTGTTAAGTTTAATACTGTTGGGAAAAACAAAAGCCACAAGTAGCTGACAACGGTCTGGTTACTAATTAATAATTAGTAGCCCTAGTA